TTTTTTTTTTTTTTATTCTGGGATTTATTTTCCTTCTATAATTGAAACTTTGTAGCCTTGAGTGGAGTTCAGAGCTGGCCAGGTGGGAGACTAAAGGAGTTCATCACCTGACAATTCTCAGGGGGAAGAGAGTGTGGGGGGTGTGGGAAGAGACTAGACAAAAATCGTACACCTATGGACGAGGACGGGTGGGAAGCTTGGCTTCCTCCATCACCAGGGGCAACCAAAGCCTCCTGCTCGTCCAGCTCTGGTGGCCATGGCCAACTGAAAGCAGGTATCTGGGGTTTATTTATCTTCTGTAATTGAAACTTTGTTGCCTTGAGTGGAGCTCAGAGCCGGCCCTGGCAGGCAGGAAGCTTGGCTTCCTCCATCACTGGGGCAACCAAGCCTCCTTCTTGCTCCAGCTCTGTGGCTGCCGGCCACCATCTTGGGTTGGGTTAATTTGCATATAGTCGCTCTGATTGGCTGGTGGGCATGGCTTAAGGTGTAGTGAAGGTATGGTCAATTTGCATGTCTGTCTTTTATTAGTGTAGATGCTAACTGCTATTGGCTTTAGCCTCTGGCATTGGTTGATGGGTACATGCCCAACCATTGAGCCCCACCAGCTGTGCACACTATTATTTTTTATTGTTGACTCTATTACAGACATTCCCAATTTTACTCATACACCTCTACCTTTTTCTCCCTCTACCCTGTCCTCACAGCTTCTATGCCCTCACCACATTATTGTCCATGTCCATGGGCTATGCATATATGTATATACTTTGTTTAAAATATTTTTAAGTGAATCTTTATTGTTCAGATTATTACTGTTCCTCTTTTTCTCCTCATTTCTCCCCTCCACCTGGTTCCCACCCCCCCCCCCCCCCCTCCCTCCCCCCCCCCCCCCCGTCACTTCTTCAGGATAAAGCCCCCCTCCTTAACCTGACTTATGAAGGGCTCTGAGGTCGCACCTGCTGGGTATCCAGCTTCAACTCTGGCAACCCTCCCTTTTATACCAAGACAGACTGAGCTTCCTTCCGTTCCTTAAATGCTCCATGTTCTCTTGCACAGCCACCGTTCACACGCTTCCCTCCACCCACACCATTCCTCCCTTCCTCCTCGACCTGCGGCTCTCAGTCTAGAAGGCATGTTTCAGGGCAGCCTCCCTTGAATCTTAGATGATGCTAGTTAACTATTTATACATTTTCTTTCCTTTTTAATATATTTTTATTTATTTCAGAGAGAAGGGGGAGGGAGATAGAGAGAGAGAGAAACATCAGTGATGAGAGAGAATCATTGATTGGCTGCCTCCTGCACACTGGGGATTGAGCCTGAAACCTGGCATATGCCCCGATCAGGAATCGAACCCTGACCTCCTGGTTCATAGGTTGATGCTCAACCACTGAGCTACACCAATCAACTGGGCTCTGTTGTACATTTTCTTTGCACGCTGCACTTCCCTCACATAACTCTCTGCGGGGGTAACTGTAATTACCTGACTGGTAGCTGTCTGCCCTCTCCCTGCACTGGAAGTTCAGTGAGGGCAGAGCTCACATGACTTATTCATCACGGCATGCCCAGGGCACCCTGAGCTCGGCATGAATGAATGAGGCTGGGGCAGAAATGGCACTCCTGAGTGGGGCCAGCCCACTACTGATTCCCTGGTACCTAACCATGTCTGGCACATGGTGGGCACTTAATAAATATTTCTTGGATCAAACGAATGAGTCCAACCTAAGAGGCTCCTGCTACTGATGCCAACAAGCTACTCAGTCTCAGAGAGGCGGGTGGTTTACTCAAAGCCCCACAGCAAGTCACTATCAGAGCCGCAGTGGAATGCAGTTCTCTTGGATCTTTATGCTACTGCGTGCTGCCTCCTGCCAGCATAGCTGAAAGATGGGCATGAGAAGTGGGTGCTTCCAACCCTATGGCTGAGTCTGGGCATAAAACAACTCCTCCTCCTCCTTCCTCAGCATGTAGCTCAGCAGCTCCTGCATGGGGAAGCCCCCTCTGCCCACTCTACCGCATTGGCCACCCGCTCCTGGTGTTCCCACCCTTGCTACATGGATCTCTATCACAGCAGCTACCGCGGGACATTGAATCTCTGCTCATCTGCCTTCCCTTTGGGACTTTGTGTTCTTTAAGAGCAAGGACCACAGGTTTTGGGGGTTTTCTCTTCTCTGCATCTCCACTATTTAATACAGGGCCCGAGTAGGTGCTCAATCAATGTTTGTAGAATTACTACACACATTGGAGTATAATTTCTCTAAGTGCTACAAGAATCACAGGACTCTTTGTGCCTTTTAAACTAATATTTACTTCCAAAATAATCTAATATTTAATTCAGAGAACTTTTGAAGATGCTGTAAAACAGAAAAAAATATTTACTAACATGTATTGAGCATTTATTGGCCACCCAGCAGGAGCTACAGAGAGATCTTCAGATTCCTCCTCTTTGTTTGGGGTTTGGAGGTGCCCAGATGAGGAGCAGCTGTGAAGTAATGCAGGCTGCTGACGAGCCTTAGGCCTTCTTTTGGAAGCTCTGGGGTTCTCTGACCCAGCTATACTTTGAGAGGTTTTTAGGTGAAGAAAGGCCAGGCCATTGGTATGCAAAAGCCTCTGTGCACAGCTTGGGTGGAGTTGTAAATTAGGTGGGGCGGGGTCTCAGGGAATCACCAGAGCGGAGCAAACCGCAATGGCTGCCAGTCTGCTTTGCCTTGGAGAGGTCCTGGGGTCTGTGTCCCAGGGTCTGTGTCCCATGGTCCCATGCAGGAACAATGAACGCTGCAAGCATCTCTGCGAGAAAGCTGCCCTCACATTCTGGACTGATGACAGACAGTACAGTTTCTCTTCGTATGAGTCTGGGTCCCCAAATTCTCTCCTGGAACTGGAGTTCAGAGCAGTCAGAAGTTTGTATCTTCCTCCCAATTGAAAAATACAACATGTACACAGCTGCCAGCCCCTTTCGTGTGCACCTCGTCCATACCTCAACACTTCCACACCTCTGTACCTCCTACCGGACTCAATGTGCCTTTCTCTTTTCTTCTAGTTGTAGAATTTCCACTCAGCCAGCCTTCCCGTGGTTCTGGATGATATTCGTTTTGCCTTTTAGTTGTAGTTTTAATGTGGTTGTGCACAGCAGCAAGTTCAGGTGTTTACCTATGCCGCCATCTTGGTTGTTCTCCAATATTTTTTATTGATTTTGGAGAGTGGAATGGAGAGGGAGGGATAAAAACAACGATGATGAGAGAAAAATCACTGATTAGTTGCCTCCTGCACGACTCCACCCACACACTGGGAATTGAGCTTACAACCCATGTATGTGTCCTGACAAGGAAAAGAACCAGTAGTATCACATGAGCTCATCATTTGTGGGATATAATGAACAGCATAAATTGATGAACAAAAATAGATTCTGAGACATAGAAGCATCGAAGAGACTGTCAAACTTCAGAGGGAGGTCAGAGGAGGGAAGGAGGGGGTAAGGGATCAACCAAAGGAATTACTAGTATGTGCATGCATATAAGCATAACAAATGGACACAGACACTATGGGAGTGATGACATGTGCTGAGGGGTATGGGTGGCTGGGAGTACTCAATGGGGAAAAAAAGAGACATATGTAATACTTTAAACAATAAAGACTTGAAAATAAATAAAATAAATATCAAACAAAACAAAAAAACCATGACCTCCTGGTTCATAGGTTGAGGCTCTATCATTGAGCCACACCAGCTTGGCTACATTATTTTAAAATTTACAAAAATACATGTATTTTTTATTGTTGATAGTATTATAGATGTCTCCCATTTTCACCCTTTGTATATATTCTTTGGTGGATCTCTTGCATTCCCCTCTTCCCCTCAGAGATCTGTCAGTCTGTTCTAGTTAGCCAGGCCTCTGGTCTCAACTTCTCCCTCCCCAGGCTTCACTCCCTATACCACAAAATCTTTATTCACCCAAGTCATTGGCTGGGATGCCAGTAGTTCCCTGCGCGGTGGAGAAAACTACATTACCCAGAAGGAAATGCGTCCACGTGGGCAGAACAAAAGTGCATTTTGGTGTCTGCGCATTTGGTTAGGGCGGGACTTCCACCTTCCTCCTCAAGGTGGTCATTTTAACCGCAAGTCTTTTGTTCACAGACTCACAGGCTTCAAGGCACTGGTGGTGGTGAGGAGGAGTCCTGGGAGGCAGCGCGCCTGCTGTGCGGGGTGTGTCTGAGGCTCCTTGAGCCCAACAGCCCGAGATTGGCGTCCCCGTGCCTCCCGGACTCCTCTCTGCTCACAGCGTCCCCGCAGCCTGACCCCAGTTCACCCTCCAGCCTTGGGGACCCGGCCTCTCAGGTCCTGCCGCCCAGGTCCCAGCGCTCAGAATGGAGAGTCCCTCGTGGGTGACACATGGCTGATGGGGGAAGAGGGTGAAAGGCTGCAGTGCCACCTTGTAAGGACGTGATGGTGGGACTGCGCAGGGAGGACTCGGGACCCCGGGCCTGTTGTGGGTGTAAAGGCAACAGAGAGATGAGGTGAGGTTTTACGTGAGGACTTTTACCTTCATTCTCAGAACGCTGGGGCCATAGATACTAGGGTCGCGGAAGGAGGAACACAAGGGCCAAAAAGGGAGAAGAATTATGAATTTATTAGGCCACCTGGAAGGCTCGAAAACGGTCCTGTTGAGGGACTTGGGAGGCAGAAGCTGGTCCTGAGGCTGCCACAGCGTCACTTGTCTGGTTTTGCTGCTTTTCTGGGTCGGGAGCTGAAATACAACTGAGGCCTAGATGTGATCCTTAGGGAGGAAAAGGTCAGGGGGTCTTAGTTGCCTGACTAGTTATTTGCCCGGGGAGGGTAGGTACCCTGGGGGGCGAGGTTCTTGTTTCCCAGTTTTGCCCCTTGCTGGCATCCAGAGCTCTTGTAGGTCCTGAGACAGGATTTCAAAATGGGAAATTCTGTGCCAGTTCCAACCTCTGCTGTGATGCCCAGGGTTATGAGGAGAGGGATTATCTGAACTGCCCTTTTGAGTCGGATATGGTGGGTTACGGGGACAGGTAAAGACTGATTATTGGGGTCTACATCTACATTGGGTGAGCAATAGATGAGGGTAAGGCAGAGTCTGGTGGGCCCAACCTGGTGGCTGTAATAGGGGACTCCAGCTCACGTGATGGAGGTGTTCCGGGGATGGGTTTTCATCTGGAAAGGTGGAACCACGGGGTTTGCTCTGATAGTTTAGCTGCAGTGGGGTGGTTAGGAGTACTTGCTAAGGGCTTTGCCATTGGGGCTGTAAATTATTTGATGGGTGGATTTCCTTTATGAGTAATCAGTCCCCTGGCTGTAGAGGAGTAGGGAGATGTCTCCCATAGAAGGTGGAGGGAGGACTTGATCAGCATGTTCTCTCAGTAATTGTTGAATGAGATTTAAAATGGGGACATAGCCTTGGCTGGTTTAGCTCAGTGGATAGAGCATTGGCCTGTGAACTGAAAGGTCCCGGGTTCGAGCACACGTGCCCGGGTTGTGGGCTCGATCCCCAGTGCGGGATTTGCAGGAGGCAGCCTATCCATGATTCTCTCTCATCATGTATGTTTCTGTCTCTCCCTCTTTCTTCCTCTCTGAAATCAATAAAAATATATAAAAATAAATTTTAAAAAAATAAAATGGGGACATAGACTCCGAGAGGGGTCTCTGTGGAAGGGAAGTTTCCTAATAAGATGGGTCTTCCATACATGAGTTCAAAGGGACTAAGAGAGGAGGGTGCATGGGGGGATTGCCCTGATGTGCATAAAGGCTAGAGGTAGGAGAACAGTTTAAGGTTCTTTAGTTTTGAGAGTTAATTTGGTTAGGTAGGACTTAATTAAGGAATTTGCCTTTTCTACCTAGCCTGAAGATTGGGGCCGGTGGGGGGTGGGGGGTGTAAGTTCCACAGGATGTTCAGAGTGGAGGAGACCTGTTGAGTTATTTGAGATATGAAAGCAGGTCCATTATCTGATTGTAATGAGGTGGGGAGCCCGAATCTGGGAATGATATGCTGAATGGGAGCTTGTGTGACCCTGATGGAATTTTCAGAAGCAGTGGGGAATGCTTCTACCCAGCCTGAGAAAATATCTACGAGGGTTAAGAGATATTTGTTTTGTTTTTTAATAGGTATGTGAGTGAAGTCAATTTGCCAGTCTTGTCCAGGGATTTGGTCCCTAGCCTGATGAGTGGGGAAAGAAGGAGGTCTAATCTAACCTGTGCTTGGGGAGATAGTGAATAACAAGTAGAACAGGTTTTGGTGACATCTTGCAGTAGGAAGGCTAGGCTAGGACATGTGATGAGGGGTTGTAGGAGTTGTAAATGTATCCTACATGAAAGCCCATAAGATACCACGGGCCTGTCCCTGGGGAAGGATATATTTTCCCTGAAATTTTAACCATGGATCTTCCTGCATAGCCCCAAGAGCTAGTAGGGACTGAAGTTCCTCTGGAGAGTATTTGGGTGTTATATGGGGTGTAGCTAAGAGTTGGGGAAAAAGAGGCTTCCTCTGAGCTGCTGCTTGCCCTCCTGGTCTGCTTTGTTATTTCCCTTTATTGGATCATTCCTGACTCGAGTCCTTTGCAGTGTATGGCTTTTAAGAAGGCGAGAAAAGGGGAGAGAGGTTCCTAAATACCAAGCAGGAAGACCTGTTGAGGCATTCAATGATAGTGTCAAGGACTGTGAATGAGCGGTGGAAATAAAGAAAGTCTAGGCTCAGATATAAGGACTTAAGACAAAGGAGAGAGCCTGGGTGGGTCTGCTCTAGCTTACTAGGAGAGAAGGGGTCTCTTAGGACGTCAGGGGTGGGCAGGTCCTGACTCACTGGACAACACAAACCTTCTACCCCTTAACAAATAACACACTTTAAACACACTCTTACTTTCAAGAAACTATAGATTCAACTAAATACAGGAGACCTTCTGTAATAAAAACTAAGAGCAAGGGAATTAAAACGGGTCTAACAGTCAACGTTGCAGTATTTTATGCTATTTTAAAATATTTAGATGTTTATCATTTAACTCAGCAATGCTCCAAAGTCTTTAAGATACCAAAGACTTTGGAAAATTATGTGTATGCACATGAGGCTGGAGAAAAGGCAGGGGGAGGAGGGAGCAGGCCCTGCAGCCTGTTCCCAGTCCTCCAGCTGCTTTGGATTTAAAACTGCCACATTTTCCCTAACAGATAACATGCTAAGGTTTGGGTGATAATGAGTTCAGCTAATGATAGTAGCCTGACTGTTAAGTTGCTAGTTTTGCAGTAAAGGGAGTTGTTCTTTGGGAAAAGGGGGCAGTTGGTGAGAAGGTGCTGAGGTCAGAGCAGTTATCAGAGCATTAAAGGGGTGAGAATGCTGGCCTTGGGATCTAAAGGCTCAGTAAGGAGTCCCTTTGCCATGTCATGTCATAGAGGAGCTTTGTGAGAAGACTGAAGTTGGGAACTCAGAGGCAGTTGTACCCAGTGAGCCTAAGAATGGAGAGTATTTCTTGTTCAGAGGAGGGGATAGTCATGGTGGAGATAAGGCATTTACAGTCTAAGGAATGGTGCAGCTTTGTGGGGTGAAAGTGAAACTGAGATAGGTGACTGTCATTTGGGACAACTGGGTTTTATAAGAAGATGCGTGGATAAGAGGATGCGCGGTAGCCCTGGTCAGGCATTGGAGTAGAACTAGAAAATAGTGAATGGGAATATTTAGTAAGATGCAGTGTAGAGGTGAGGTGGCTAATGGCTGTAAGACTAATCTGTCAACCCTGTAATAGAGACTAAAGAGGGGACAAAGGTCCCAGCTAATTTGGGGAGGGCAGAATAAGTGGCCCCAGTGTCAATTAAAAAGGAGATTGGTTTACCTGCCACCACATCATTACCTGAGTCTCTGACTTGGTGCTGTAAGTCTGTGGGACCTTGTCAGGGCCTGGGTAGCTTCAGTCTTCGGTGGCCAGCAAGGAGGTCTGGGGGCTCCAAACCGGGTCCAGAGGGTGGTCTTGCTGAACTGGCTGATGTCTGACCTGGAGGGGCCAAACTGCAGTCTGATTTCCAGTGGCCTTCCCTTCCACACTATGGGCAGGGCCCATGGGTTTGAGGAGGACTTGATCCAGTGTCTGTCCTTGTTGCATTTGAAGCATGGGCCCGGAAGAGTCTTAGCCCCTGACTTACCCTTGTTTGGAGGACCGGCACTTCATTTGGAGTTCGTGAGAGGTAGCTAGGAGCTGAAAGCGCTTCGTCTGGGTCTCAGCCTTGGCCTGATCTCACCTTTGTTTTTGGATTTGAGGCTCCTTGTCTCTATTATTAAAGGCCAGGTTAACGAGGTCTTTTTGAGGGGTTTGTGGACCTGTGTCTAATTTTCGAAGTTTATGGTGTATGTGGGGGCTGGTTGGTATATAAAAAGGGTGTTCAGAAGAAGGGTTCCTTCTGGGGAGGTGGGTTCTACGGTGGTAAATTTGTGTAAGGCCTCCATGATGCGGGAGAGGAGGAGAGCTGGGTTTTCATCAGAGCCCTGAGTGATTTCATTAAGTTTGTCTTAATTGACTGCCTTATGGGCAGCCTTTTGAGTCTGACAATGAGACAGGCTACAGAGCCAGCGCCCTGGAGAACTGACCTGATAGCCCCATCTTGGGTCAGTTCTGGGGATTGTGTTAGTGCCAACCTGGTTGGCCACCGAGTCCTGTCTATGGAGGGCACAGCGTGTTCCTGAGCTGCTACAGATGTGCTCCTTCTCCTCTGGGGGGAGAGAGGATGACAGGATGACTTAGATCTTATGCCAGGTTAGGTCATAGGACTGGGTCAGGTACTTAAATTCTTTAGTAAAGGTGGTCAGGTCGGTGGAAAAAGACCTGAGATGCCTCAATCTGTGTGAGGTCGGACATGGAAAATGGGATGTGTACCCAGACAATACTCTCAGTTCCTGCTTCCTTCCTTGGGAGTAGAATGGGCGCAGGAATAGAAGCAGGTATTGAGGAAGGCAGTCTTAGGGTGGCCCTAGAGCAAGTGTTAGGTGGGAAAAGGCTGTATTGGAGCTCAAGTTCTTGGGATTTGGGCTCTCAGGGGCTGGGGGAGGAGGTGGTTGCAGGTTAAGAGGGGCTGGGTTTTAGGAATCTATCACAGATGAGGGAAGAAATGTGTAAGGGAGTGAAGGTCAGTGGTCTGCTGGGTCAAAAGTAGATTCAGCCCTAGCCAGTTTGGCTCAGTGGATAGAGCGTTGGTCTGTGTACTAAAATGTCCCAGGTTAGCCGAACCGGTTTGGCTCAGTGGATAGAGCGTCGGCCTGCGGACTCAAGGGTCCCAGGTTCGATTCCGGTCAAGGGCATGTACCTTGGTTGCGGGCACATCCCCACTGGGGGGCATGCAGGAGGCAGCTGATCGATGTTTCTCTCTCATCGATGT